CAAAAGTGGCATACCACACCAATTATTCCATAAATAAGGATAAGGAGAGAAAGAAAGAAAGAATATAAAGCTTAGTTAGGGTGCGAAGAAATCGTAAGAAACACTCAAGTCAACTTGTTTAACACACTGCACGAGAACTTTCTCTGATTACCTTGAACAGTCCACTTTCAACCAGTGGATAACTGTTTCGAACTCTAGGCCAATTACTGAAGTTTTGGTCAGCTATATGGTATTGTTGGTTACTATGGAATATGTATGAATTATAGAATAAAGCCAACCCAATCGGAATGCATTCAGCAATCCTGTGCACATTTGTGCACTAGGCAATAAGCCACACCTGTTGTGTGAGAGCTAATGATACTGTTTGGTTACCCAAACCTCGGTAGGAGACGTGGTGTGTGAACTCGTGATCCGCTTGGTTGAAAGTCAACTCCTCAAACCGGTGCACCCTAGTTCCACATAGACCAAAACACCATTCACACTTCGTTATTAGGCTGTATTAATAGACACTATTGTGTTTGATCTTATGTTTTTCATGCTTGATTGGTTGGTGTAAATGTTGGCCGAGACGAATTTTTCTTTGTCTCGAAATACCTTTCTATTCCAGCAGGTTGCAAAGTTCAGTACAAGGGGAAGAAAACACACAACCAATTTGTTGTTATTTCCTCCTGTTATAGAGAAAGTAATAAAACTACGCTTTAACCCCCATCACTTACTTACTTTGTAGAAATGTACAAGTCTGAGCTTAAAGTACTTATACGAGTGGCCATCGCAGCATCTAAACCGCGCACAGTTATAGTGAACATTTATTATTTGTCCTTTGGGTTCCTAGTGGAACACAGGATTTCGGTAGTACGTCACCATTTCACTCTGTTCTCTGCAGTCTTTTCAACCTCGCTCCATGACTGCCCACAAACTTCCATTTTTTCTTCACATGATCTCCTTTATGTCACCCTCGGACGCCCAACTCATCGTTTCCCCTTTGGATTCCACTCGAGAGCCTGGCCTGGCGCGTGGTGTCTCCGAACGGTCTTCTCAGTGTATGCCCAATCCAATCCATCTCCACTTGCTTCTTCTGCATATTTGTTGGGTGATGGGTTCTTGGTTGGTTCATTGCCAGCCAGAGTTACATGTCGCTTATTCTTTCATGCCATCTGACCGAGATGGTGAACATAGTCCTTATCAATACGGGTTCAGTCTCGTTGTTTTCAAATTAAATGACCAATTAACTGACACTTTATCTACATGGGTGTATTTGTAGGATCTGTCACTCATGGTGAAATCGCCATGCTAGAAGCGTCGAAGTCAGGCGAAAGGAATTAGGAAGAGAAGGCAAGTCGGTCGATGGGGTTGTGGGGCTTCAGCGGCTGTGCATGTCGATCCATCACTTACCTCGGCGTGAAATGCTAAGAGAAGTTGGATTAGGTTGGCCAGACTAAAATGTGGCACCAGTGCATAACGGTTCTGACTGTTGGCCTTAGCCGTGTAAGGAAATACAGACTGCTTAGTTGGGGGTCCTCTGTATGATAGGAATCAGTGGTTGAGGACTCTTTTTGAAATGATTGAAAGTCGATCACAATGGCTCAAATGTGTATTCACTCTTTGACTTCTGAAGCTTGGATATTTGCATATATATATATATATATATATATATATATATATATATATATATATATATATATATATATATATATGTCTATTTTGATATCACTTTTTCTATCCACCTGTTCTTTGTTTAATGCTGTGAAGTGTAGCGACTTTAACCAATGAGTGACAGTAAACAGTTATTGAGAGTGATCAAGGAAAGTGGACGGAAAAGGTCAATGATTAGTAAGACTAAAGCGAAAGAGACTAGTGGAACGATGAGCGAAGCACTTAGAGGAAAAATCCAACTAGTCTCCAGTTACTCTTCGATTGCTTGCTATTCAGTAGGATTCTGAATGGAACACTGACACAGACCCTGTAACCCTTGCAAATGTTGAGAAAGCTAACGGTAGATGGATCAGCAGTACTCGACGGGTTAGTACCAGTAATATGCAAGAATGGTGGTCAAGGATTGCGGGAATGTGATATGATCGCATCTGGTGGGTCTTTCTATCAACCAGTTGCCCCCAACATGATATGCCATAATTCGAGATTTACGAATCCCAGATAAATGACTTATTACCCGTACAACCAAACTTTCAAAGTTTGAACCTTGATCTGAATGTAATTGCTCTGGGGCTTCCTAACTGGCAATACACGTGCCAAATATTGCCTTCTTTGGTGCATCAGCCTGGTTCTGGAATACATCTAGAACAGTACATAACACTAGTTGCACTATTCGACTTAAAGGAGGCATTCAACTCCATCGATTGACATGTTAAGTGGTTGTACCGTTCACTGAAAACAGTAAGAAGTGAGTAAATCACGACGTTGTGAGCTCTGTATTTGGAAACCAGTGGGCTTGTTAGAGCCTATCATGTAGTTTCACATGGGTTGCTGTACACCAAATAGTGTTTGTTAAAAGTCCACCTAAAGCCTTCTCATGATGGCGATGTTTGATGGAGCAAACCACAGTGCAATACACTCGACACAATAGGTAATGACACACCACTCCGGTATAAAATGGCAAAAGCTTATCGAGCCATTTTTATAAGTGCAGGGATTCGTTTCGTCACTGACCCACCCATAAAACTTGATATGATGATGTCCCAAGTCAAGTGGTCAACCCTCCCCCAACCACTTTACTTCCTGTAGTTAGACAAAACGCCAACGCTTACCAAAGCAACAATTTACATTTAAGAGATGAGAAACATATATCAAACATTCTCAAATTGCCAATCAAGATGTCTAGAAGATCCTGTACTTTTCAGTGTCTTCACGTAATAGGAGTATGTTGTTTGCATACTCTGAGTCAAACAGATACCTTCCGGTGAGTAAGTCTATTCCTGTGAAGTCGAGGGTGGGTACTCAAGATTATGTCCATCAACACACGTACGCTTCCTTCGTATGCTCTCATACGTCTGGATGAGTTCGAGTAGAAAGCTTTTATTACCATAGTACACTTGAATGCTACTTCATTCACAATCAATACTAAAACATCTCTCTTGGTTGACGTGCGAAGATATAGTCAGAAATACCGACTGGAACTAATCTCAACTCATTCCCCTCATGACTGTGTAACTCTTTTCGATAAAATGTGATTAATTGAACCACTCATTCGATCGAATTGTTTGTAATTATTTAAACACCCATTTTCCACTCATAGCAATTTTGGAAACCTAAATGTCTCAAATTCCTGTGTGAAAAGTAAATTAGTTTATAAAATTGACTTGAGGCTTGCCTACACATTTAAATAAAAGTGGCTAGATGTTCAAAAAATTATTGGTGTAACAAAAAGACCTACTTAGAGCTAATTGATATACTACGTAAATTCAATCTACTTAGGTTTTGTGAACTAAAGGGATAATGCTTTGGAAGCTGATCTGTTGCAGTTTTGTTTATTCGACTCGTTGACCCTGTTCATCTTACACCTAAAAATGAGTTAATGAACTGCTACATACTTCGCGGCATATTCTCAAAACGAAATGACTGACTGAGAAAATCATCGTAGAACCTTGCACACATGTGCATTGGCTCAAGTTACTACAGTACGCAATAGTATACAAAGAACAAGTGGATAGGAAAAACCGATATCAAAGTACACAAAGTTGTATGAGAGAATAAACAATTTGAAAATAAGGGTTACTGCTGGGTGTGTCTACTCTTGCAAATAGTGTTCCAGCTCAGTTTTTCTAACTTAAGGCAAAGTAAAATTAATGAGCAACTTTTTGTTGACTTTCAAAGTAACAGGTGTATGTTTGATACTTCAGATGTGCCGGTTGATGCAGTCACAGAGCAGTAGATAGTAATTAAACAGTTTTCATCTTTACTAGTACTACCAGAGAATCCTTGGTATATCTAGAGTACACAAATGAAATATTCCTGTTAGGTGAAAATGCAGAATCTTCTGGACACATTGACTGGCAATTTGACAATGTTCAGGATGTGTTTCTCATCACTCAAATACCGATTCCTACTTCAGGACTGGTCTTTATTGGTGCCTTGTCTAACAATAGAGAGTTAAGTGGTTGATTGCTGTGAACACTTCACATACCTAAGAAGTTGGATTAACCCTGGTGGGTCAGTGACCGAAGAAATTTCTACACGGGTACAAAAGGCTCGATTGGCCTTTGTCAACTTACTGCATCTGTGGCGCCCCCGCGATATCCAATTATCGACTATGCGTAGAGTGTTCTGGGCTGCAGTTTACTCTGTTCTACTGAATATCTGTGAAACATGGCGATTAAAGTTAAAGGAGGATTCAGCTGTTTGACCACCGTTGTCTTCGTAGTATAACGCATATTTCGTGGTGGCACCACGCCAATAACACAGAAGTCATGTGTAGAGTATTAGAGAGGAAAGTCAGTTGACAAGGTTGTGAACCTTCATCTGCTGAGATAGCTAGGACATGTGTTACACGTGTCTAGCCACCATCTGCCTCGTCGCACAATGTTAGCTGAAGTAAGTCTAGGCTGGAAAAGGGTTAGGGGTGGTCAGAATAAAACACTGCATGAATTCCTTGACTTGATTTGAGTCATGTGGGGAGATGCAGACTAACCGGTTAGGGTCCATGTAACACCAGAAACCGGTGCTCAGAATCAATATCAGCGGTGAAAATGCATCTACACATTATCGCTATCGCTATACTGAATTCATTATTTTCTCATTCCCCCTTCCTCCCATGTACTGCTTTCGACCAGTTTCTCTCTCTTCTATCATCTTTCATCTTAATGCTTTGTTACTTGATGTGCTGATATAAGGTGTGGCAACTTGGACTGTTGTTCAATGCTTGTTTGAATCGTATTATGGTAAGTATAATATACATATCTAATGCTGCTATAATTTGTGCACTACTTGGTTTCATGCTTCTACTTTAACATTCTCTGTTCGTTATTGGATTGTTTTTACTGCACTAGGTTATATTGACTGTTCGAGATCCTGAAATCTGGCTTGCTGGTTGTCGGTCTACAATACTCCCCAGAGATATAGATCAACCGCGTTCATGGTCATTTCATTTGCTTCGCCAGTGTATTGGTCTAAGCCAATTTCATGAATTATTTCTTACAAATTGGAGGCGCGTATTCGGCAAAGATATGGATTTCACAAATGATACTTCAATGTTGAGTGGTTTTGTTAATTGGAATCAAAATGTCATTAAAAATGTACCATCAGAACGTCTACTAAAATTTGATATAAGTCAAGGTTGGGAACCATTGTGTAAATTTCTTAATCTGCCTCTACCTGATTGTCCATTTCCCCACGTAAATGAGTATAATGAACTGAGACGTTTACTTAAATTGGAGAAACGTGTTTTAAAATTTTTACAATGGATTTTACCAACATTAATATTTTTCACTTTAGCCTATGTGTTTTATAAATTTGTACTATAGTATAGTACAGTTCAATACAGTAAAACAACGTTTATCTTTCAGTTGATTCAAACGTAATTGTAAGACGTGTTCGTGTGTGTCATCTTTGTAACAATAATGATACTAATAATAGTAATGATAATTCCTTTTTATTGTATTTCATTTTTCTAAGTTTTCTAAGCTAAAACAATGGTTGATCTCCTATTTTGATTATTATGATCATAATTATATTATTATGATTATCATTTACATCTCTGCATCATTGTGTTTTTATTGACCGGGATTTGGTCTTTAGCCTTTGTGTGTGTGTGTGTGTGTGTGTGTGCGTTTTGTTGAATAAATCTATACCTTTGATGATCTTTATGTGTGCATTCGTTCCATGTAGACTGTGCTTGGTTGTATATGCCTCAACGACGGAACTGGATGGAGATCGCGCTCTGTCGTGAACTGAGAAAAGTAGGAGATGTAGACCACTGGATGTCACCGATCCCTTGTTGATGTGCTGGGTTTGATCCCTGTGGGTAAGGTCATGGATGCGCACTGCTGAGGAGTCCCATACTAAGACGAAACAGCTGTCCGCCCAGTGCTTTCAGGCTTCCGGTGTTTCTCTAGTTGATGTCAGTCCATGTTGAATATCAACCTGAAATCGATATAAACAACAGTTTCTCAGTCAAGTATTCCATTATGAGCTCTCATAGACGCTCGGATTAGATATGGATAGTAGACCTTTCTTAAATTTGAAAGGGGATGAGCTACAGCCTACAGGATTGCAGCATTTTTTAGAAGCATCCGAGATATATATGATCAGAAATGGGTGATTTGTAAGATTCCAACTTCACATGGGGTGATTTCAAACTTTTGGTTAGAGTTCATTTTCGACTATCTGAGATAGCAGTAGTTTAGCAGAATTTTGTTGATACTGAGTGATGATTGAGATGAAATTAAATCTGATCACTAGTGTGGTCTCATAGCCCAGTTGGTAGCGCACCTGGCCGAGGACTCAGTGGTAGGTGGTTCGAATCCTACCACTGCCCAAATTTTCATTTCACCTTGAATTATCAGGCAACATCAACACAAGTCTGCCAAACCACGGCTATCGCAGATAGTCGAAAATGATAATCAATATGAAGCCAGCCCCCTGTCTGATTCAAGTATATTTGGAATGAATAGAAAAGTCCTGACTGAGTTGCAAGAGTGAGTACACTCAAGTGATGGCAACGCGTCACGAATTCACTTGGCAGTCAGGCAAAATCTTCAGTTAGTCAGGTGAAATAAGAATCTGTTCAAAGAGTTCGTTTAGCAGTGGATGACGGGAGTCTTCTCTTCAAAAATTTGCAACCATTCGTCCCTTTCATGAATTTGGATAGAGTAATTACAAGCTTATCTGAACAATTTGTGATGTCGCCGGAGACCAACCAATTTCACTCTGTAGTAGTGAATGTTGACTAAACTCTACCGATCATTTCTCCTGTAACTACTAAGCTACGGAGTCCAATCATCATGGTGCTCTTTGGAAGAGGTTAGGTGGTTGGAGGTGATCAACAAGAAAATATGCTTAGTCTAAATTCCGTTCATCTTAGCACTCGTCAACAAAGCGTGTCTGCAAACTAGAGGAAACTGAAGTTTCCTGCAGGACTCGAGGCTGGACCATCCAGTGTTGAAGTTAATGGAGTTATTACTGAGATATTTGTGCCTCTTATTACTGAAACACAAAGAAAAAAATCCGACTTCTGAGCACTAATTCAGTCAAGTCAGTGCTTCTGTGTGATGGTAGAGAGACTTGACGCGTTACGAAAAGCATTTCCAACAAACTACAGACACACATCAACAGCTGCCATCTGCGATCACTCCATACTGAAGATCAGATGGCATGAAAGAACAAGCGACATGTAACTCTGGCTGGAAATGAACCAACTAAGAACCCATCACCCAACAAATATGCAGAAGAAGCAAGTGGAGATGGATTGGATTGGGCATACACTGAAAAAACCATTCGGGGATATTAGCCATTGTATCGAAGCTCAATGGTCAAAAGTACTATCTGTGGTGGTGTCACGAGTCCATACCGCTGAGGAGACCCTTACTACTAGGACGAAACAGCTGTCCAGTGCTTCACGGACTTCCAATAGTTCTCTCATTGATCTCGGTCTGTGAAGAATACTGCTTTGAAATCAATCTAATACTCACGAACAACAGACTAAATTACTGCCTAGTGCTACTCAATGTCTTTCAAAGTCTCTCACTTCATAGATTCACTGCGAATAGTAGAGAGAGGGATATATATATATATATATATATGTCTGCCTGCGAGTTTCTAGTCGTGACTGCTTACTTTTCATAGGTATAGAAGAAGATATATAAGCAGACAATATTGTTTTCATCCACTCTTCATCAGACTTTCCGCCAATATAAACAAATATTTCTCATATATTAGACATCAAACCAGTCGTGGTGGGTTCTCTTCTGCGTTTTCTTAACTCAACGAATTGTTCCTACTACTCAGGTTACTTGCTCGTCACAGTGAAAATTATCATTATGGTTGCATATATTTATGCATCGATTTCAACATATGGACAGGCATTACTGCACTAATGGTCCAAGTTGCCACATCTCATATCAGCTCTGCGAAGCTCCTGTAATCCATTTTGTTTATCATCAGTTTTAATGAATTATTCGTTATGAAATTTGAGGTGGTGTTCGACTTCCTGTTTCGTCTTCTCAGACAACTGGAACAAAACAGAGCCAAAACAAAGCCTAATTCAGTAACATTATTTCTTATGTGGATGACTTTTGTAGTAGGCGTCCTTCATTGCCTAGCAGATTTGTTTACTTCATTAATATGGTACACAGTGGGTGATACAGTATCATTCACTTCATCAGCTTTCGAGCATGAATTTTTGCCACTCATGATCATATCAATGAAATCACACCATTTTCGACATCTGATATCTATAGTCCTATCATCTCTTGCTTTTCCTTATGGTTAATGGAGGCAGTAAAATTTTGCATACCTCTCGTATACGTGTTGCATCATTGCTACTTCACATGTTGGGTGTCGATTTGATGAACAAATTATCCTGTCTTCACCTAGCTGTATGAAACTGAAGTGATTTTTCCTACCCCAAAAGATTTGTATTCAATCATTCTTGAGTATCACTATCCAAGTCACAGTTAGAGGACTTGTCGTTAGGGCCAATTTTTCGCGATATTAATCGATATATCAAGAAACTTCATACACCTGTACAGTTAGAAAATATAATTGGGCAAACTACTGATCTTCTCCCGACTTCCGACCAAGAATTTCAACGCCTCAAATCAACCATCATAGACTGCTGCCATCAATACCTCAGCAGAGAATCAAGGGATCACAGTTTCTTAACGGAAGAGCACAGAGAACAACTCAAACAGTTGAGATGCAATGAAGGTTTGATAATAACACATCCGGACAAGGATGCAGGTGTGGTCATAATTGACAGAAGTGTCTATATTGACGAAATATTAGCTCTACTCTAGAACGAAAACAAACTCTATAAACCTGGTAACGAGAAAAATAAGACGGGACGGATTGAACAACAACGTATTGATGTTTTGAAAAGGTTAAAAGGTGATCAGTTAACAACCAATGATCTCTACGAACGCATCAAACCAACTTTACGGAGTACCGAAAATTCACAAGACCGGTCTACCCATTCATCCGATTCTAGACATGTCTGGATCTCCTTACCATCCAATCGCAAAATGCCTAGCTGAAATCCTAGAGCCGGTAAGAAGATGAATCGCCATCTACTCTCTACGTGATACTTTTGAATTGATTGATTACAAAAGAGACGAAGACGTATCTAACACATGTATGATATCACTTGATTTCGAGTCACTTTTCACCAATGTTCCACTTATCGAAACTGTCTTATTCTTATGCAGATACATAGAAGATAACTGCATAAATGTTGGGATACCGACCCCATGCCTCAAGGGATTGTTACTTAGATGCACACTCAACGTTCAGTTCACAGTTAACGACGAGATTTATAGACAGAAAGATGGAATCACCATGGGATCCTCGCTAGGTCCATTACTAGCAGACTGCTTTGTGGCCAGTTTGGAGAACAGACCCTTAAAATCAACAATTGAAGTTTTTCAACTGTACAAAAGGTAAATAGACGATACTTTTATTATCTGTGATCATGAATATGACTTGAATCACCTTCTACAAATATTCAATAACTGCTACTCGGCAATTACATTCACCCTCGAGGTCGAAAATTCACCTTCTTGATGTAGAGCTGACTAGAACAGTAGATGTAACGTTAAGTAGATCAATTCACAGAAAACCAATGTAGAATGGTCAACTGACGAACTTTAACAGCCGGGTCCCTTTGAGTTGTAAGCGAAATCTGTTCATATCTCTTGCCACTCGCATTAGACGAATCTGCAGTCTCGACATGTTAAATGAGAAAATTTCTGTTCTAAACAACATCCTGATTGAAACGGATTCCCACCAAGCTTCTTAGACAAACACATCAAGCCTAAAGCTCGTAAATAGAACCTTACCACCGTGCCATGAAAAAAACTCTATATGAATCTAAATTTCAAAGGTGATTCTGCCGCTGCCACTCTGAAGAGGAGAATATCAAATGCTTGGAGGAGGATATTCTTTGCATCGATACTGAGACTACTATTTTCTTGTCGCACAACGATTTCCAACAACGCAAAGCAGAAACTTTCACAGCTGACCACTTCTATGTGCGTATATCAATTCATTTACTCCTGTGGAGCCAGGTGTATAAGTCGTTCGATGCGACTGTCATCCAAAGGGTTCAAGAGCACTATCTCGCATGGTTACAATGTGATAATAATGGAGCGATAAGAAGCACTGTAAACGAACACATCGTGAACACGAATCACTGTATCTGAAGAGCCTCCTCACTCAAAGTCATCTATAATGCGAGAAGAAATCTCCCGAAGGCTGTATGTATTCGTATCCTCTGCTTTTTTATTCTCCGTTGTTTTTTTCCTCTATCATGTTGATAGCCCATCAAAACACCTTGACCTTGAACTCAGTGTTTAAATTCCTTTCCCCAATTTACTGGAAACATTGACCTACTGTGATTATTGATCATTTAGCGATCGATACTATTTATTTATTCGGTGTAACAGGAATAATAGGCCATTGGAGAACAGACGACTTTGCAATTAATCTGCTAACAACCATGAAATTAGGTTCCATTTTGAAAGATGTCTATCGAAAAACTGGATTTTACTATGATTTGCAAATTTATTGTTCTTTGTTTGGTAGCTAGCAGTGAAATCCAGCTTGGCAT